TTTGGAGTTCAGGAGATTGTCTTGACCAGGACCACACCCCTAAATGCATTGAAGCAACTGCCATGTGATTGGTTGATTAGATAATTGCACTAATGAGAAATTGAACAGGTGTTCCTAATAATCCTTTAGGTGAGTGTAATTTCAGTGATTCTATCGTTAACACAGGTGAGAGTGTAAGGACAAAGCTGGAGATCACTCTGTCATGCTGATTGAGTTAGAATAGCAGACTGGAAGCTTTTTAAGATGGGTTGTGCTTGAAATCATTCTTCTTCCTCTGTGAACCATGGTTACCTGCAAGGAAACACATGCAATTATCATTGCTTTGCAAAAGGGCTTCACAGGCAAGGATACAGTAAGACTGCACCTAAATCAACCATTTTATAGATCATGAAGAACTTCAAGGAGAGAGGTTCAGTTGTTGTGAAGATGGCTTCAGGGTGCCCAAGAAAGTCCAGCAAGCACCAGGACCGTCTCCTAAAGTTGATTCAGCTGCAGGATCGGGGCACCACCAGTGCAGAGCTTGCTCAGGAATGGTAGCAGGCAGGTATGAGTGCATCTGCACGCACAGTGACACAAAGACTTTTGGAGGATGACCTGGTGCCCAGAAGGGCAGCAAAGAAGCCACTTCTCTTCAAGAACAACATCAGGGACAGACTGATATTCTGCAAAAAGGTACAGGGATTTGATTGCTGAGGACTTGGGTAAAGTCATTTTCACTAATGAATCCCCTTTCCAATTGTTTGATGCTTCCGGAGAAAAGATTAACTGGAGAAGAAAAGGTGAGCGCTACCATCAGTCTTGTGTCATGCCAACAGTAAAGCATCCTGAGACCATTCATGTTTGGGGTTGCTTCTCAGCCAAGGGAGTGAGCTCACTCACAATTTTGCCGGAGAACACGGCTATGAATAAAAAATGGTACCAAAACGTCCTCCTAGAGCAATTTCTCTCAACCGTCCAAGAACAGTTTGGTGATGAACAATGCCTTTTCCAGCATGATGGAGCACTGTACCATAAGGCAAAAGTGATAACTACAGTAAGTGACTTGGGGAACAAAACATCAACATTTTGGGTCCATGGCCAGGAAACTCCCCAGACCTTAATCCCATTGAGAATTTGTGGTCAATCCTGAAGTGGTGGGTGGATAAACAAAAATCCACAAATTCTGACAAACTTTAAGCATTGATTATGCAAGAATGGGCTGCCATCAGTCAGGATTTGACCCTGAAGTTGATTGACAGCATGGCAGGGTGAATTGCAGAGGTCTTAAAAAAGAAGGGTCAACACTGCAAATATTGACTCTTTGCATAAACTTAATGTAATCACCAATAAAAACCTTTGACACTTATGATATGCTTGTAATTATACTTCAGTATAACTTTGTAAATCTTTTTGTCAGATGTTTTCTAACACTGAAGCAGCAAACTTTGTGAAAACCAATACTTGTGTCATTCTCAAAACTTTTGGCGATTGTACTCTCTGCAACAAGTTGCCAGATAGTGTGAAGAGTTTCCAATGCAACAGTTTGACAAAACCTGTCCAATCTGTCAACATTGCTCTGGATTGAGCCACACTTTAATCTTGTGATAATGTAGCAGGACAGGCAGACGTGGGTTAGAGTGCACATAATTAAAAGCTGCCACTTTTCTTGCCTTTCTAGTTTTTATTTTCTTATTACTCCTGTTCCTTGTCTGATTTCTAATTGTTGGTTGATAATTGTTGTCTTCAGTTTTTGTTGAGTGTAATCAAACATGCATGATAAGTGCCCTCAATTGTGCCCTTCTGCCATATCCTTTCTCTCTTCAGCCTCCTTGATTCATCGTTGAAAGCTTTTATAATTGCATAAGAAGTGATTTCTGAGATAACAAATGTCCACATGGAGTCTTAAGCAGCTCTTGATATTTGTTGTAGTTTGTTTTGCAACTGCTAAAACATTGTGAGGCCCAGCGGACCCAAATTACGGAGTGGTGGGCAAGGAGCAAGGCAGCATCTTCACACACAAGGCTCTTTTATTGACAACCCTTAAAAACTATATATAAAAAATCATCTTAAATGTAAGTCTATTAAAAAGTTAAAAGTTTTAAAATAGGGACAAAGCAGGCGACTTCCTACTATCACTCAGAAGTGAGGCCGACTATCACGGGGCACTTGGATTTCCTTTACAAAGCACAAACATTATCTTTGAATTTCACTATGTTTTAGTCCCAAGTAATGCAGGCAATATTATAAAATTTGCAATAAAATTCAATGATAAAATCAATAAACCAAGTTCCACACATAAAACATTAAGCACACTTTACCAAAACCAGAGGTAGTTTCCATGTGCTTAAACAGAGCATTGTCATCAACCCTCAGGATGAAGAGTCACCCAAAAAAACCCATGGGGCTGAAGCCAGAAGAGACCCTTCCACCTCTCCTTGGCCTTGTGGTAGACCCATTGGATGACACCAGTATCCATCCTGAAATTCAAGTCGGCCCAGATTTTGTGAAATACCCCATGTGCCTCCAGATGTAACCCTCTACAGATTAGTGCGGTCCTTGCATTCCACAGCTCTCGATGGGTAATGCTGACCAGCAGCCGTATCCAGGGGCCGAAGGGGTTATGGAGGTTAGGAAACCACCCCTTCAACACCTTGTTGTAGGTCAGATCGGGCTGCGGATCTGCACGTCTGCAAAGGCCCACTACCAACCCCCAAACTCTTTGTGCATGCCCACAGTCCCAAAACACGCTTGATGGCTTCTTCTTCATTCTATTGGGGCAGCAGGGGTGTCTGGTCAGCTTATGCCTGTCCAAGTCACCCATGACTGGCAGCTTACCATGAAGGCACTGCTAGTTCAGGTCCTGCAGCCATTGATTCTAGCTCATGTGCCCTCCTCAAGGCCCAGCATGGCCTGAGTACCCATATGACCAAGAAAAGCCTTATAAAGGCTTAATCAGGGCCTCTGCTTTGACACCTACCTAGATGGACTTACTCCACTTCACGACATGGCTATAGTAGGCCAGCAGGGTCTCAGCCTTGGGGCCGAGGTTGGTCCACGACGCCACCAGGCGTCTCATGGGGAGAGCCAGCCACAGACGCACAAAGTGCTGATGGGGGTGCTTGAGGGGAGCTGTGAGGCATGTGCAGAACTGCGAGAAGAGAGAGAAGTCAAAAACATCCCTCCCCCCACTGTCCTTTCTAAGATACATCACTTTCCTACACACACACTTATTCCTGCCCCCCCTAGACGAGGTTAAAAACATCCGTCACCAGGCCTCACCGCGTGAAGTGGGGCAAAGGGTACACATGCTCAAAGTAGAGCAGGGTGGGAAGAATTTCTACTTTAACGGCCAAGACCTTACCTTGGAAGGACTCCTACCTTCCAATCTTCTGCCTGGTGATCGCCAACCTCCCTTCCCAGTTCAAATGGGTGACACCATCTGAGAGGCCCTTCCACCTCTCCTTGGCCTTGTGGTAGACCCGTTGGATGACATCAGTATCCATGTGCCTCCAGATGAAACCCTCTACAGATGAGTGCACTTTGAGAGGTTCGCCACAGACAGTAAGACCACCTATAACATGATCAACCTTCTTATGAAATAGATGACCTCTGACCCACAGCCCATAAAATAACTCACACATCAAATCCCAGCAATAACAGCCCATTACATTTAACTATTTACACACACTACTGTACTGGCTCCTTTAATCACCCCAACATGACATGGTGGGTACATGCACACCATGCTATTACAACACTGACATTAGCACTACACCTGGCGTCATATACCAGGAATACGTGACATGGAATAGGCTAACAACAGCAAATACATGCAGGGGATATGTGCACATTGGGAAACATGCAAATTACCACCGCTAGCTACAGGCAACTCGCCGATGCTACAATATATTCTAAAATTACATCCCATCTTTTCAGTGAATAATGACAGTGACGCAGTTCTTTAGCATTTTGATTGTTGTGGTAAGTGATAATTTTTTGTTCATAAGATGAATTTATGTGATTTTGAAACATTGAGTAAGCAGCTGAAACAAGTAAGGCATTTTGCAGGCGTTGTTTAGCTGTACAGCATAAATTGATATGGTGACTACATTTAAAGTTTAGAAAATTTTAAGTTTTTTTTGGAAAATGTTCTTAAAAATAGAGAAAAACGTTTTAAAATAATTGCTCATCTTTTTAAATTTGTCTTCTTATCTCCCTCTGGTGGTTGAAGGGCATTATTGCATATGATTTGTAGGAACTCGCTGTGAAACTGACCCATTTTAATTATTCTTCAAATTGAGAATATGAGAAGATTGAGACCAACAATTTGAATGGCATCTTCTATAAAAGTATGAGTATGCCCTGTATGGACCTAACTGAGCCATTTCAGTTTGGTAATGATCACATAAATGACCTCTGTTGATGCAATGATGACTACAGAAAAAAAACGTGGTTGGTGCAGAGAGAATGGAAATTACCATTACTGCAGTGTGATTTGGCCTTCATGACCTCAAGTGATACATGTTATTACTTAACCTCCGAATCAGCTAGAAGTTAAAATCCATTTGCCATCCTTGGGACAAGTGATACAAAGGCAGTCTGAAATGTAAGAAAATCCTTGAAATAAAGCAAATATAATAAAGAAGTTACACATATAGAACATAAAAGTAGAGATTACACATACTGTAGATGATACTTGCTTTTTTACAACAACATTTAACCAATATTGCAGTTTAAAATACCTATAATGAATTATTGAATTACATAGTATATCTCCTCTGATTAAGACTAATTTAATGAAAACTAATTTACTAAGCACAGAAAACCAAGATTATTTTGTAAATAAAAACAGAAAAAAATCCTACATGTCCCATTCAAAATGACCACATATTAAATATGTATCCCATGAAGCTAGGTTTAACAGCACATGATAAAAGAATGAGATCCTCACTCTACTGACGGGGTGAGGGTTGTGCTGTTTTGTGTGTGTGTGCGTGTTTTTTTTTTAAGCATTTTTAAGCAATTAATCCCTGCTGCTAAAACGATCAGGGTTTGTTTGTTCTAACCCGCACAGGAACAGCAAAGGACTAAGAGAAAGGCAATGTAGGGATGATAGAATTTTAAATGTGCTCTGAGCTGATACCTTTTTTTGTGTGTGTGTGTGTGTGTGTGTGTGTGTGTGCATATGTGTGTGTGTGTGCGTGTGTGTTCGCGCACGTGTATAAGCAGCCTGTGTCCCCTTGGGTCTCTGTGTATGTCGTCACTAGTCATCACTGACTCAGCCTGCCCACCCTCCACAGATCCCTGCTCAGTCAGTCCACCAGCAGCCGCACAGCACACACTCCTACAGCCCCTGCCAGCTGCAGTCAGTGCTCCTTCCGCTCGCAGTCATTGAACAGAAGTAGCCGTCACGAGTTAGCTTCTTAAACACGTGATAAAGAAGAAGAGGGTGAGAAGAGACAGTGGGGAAAAGAAGAGAAGGAAGGGAGAAAACGAATCAGCAAAGCTGCAGCTTCGCTGTGATTCGCACCTGCTAGCATGCTGCTCCGTGCATTTGCTCTGCTGTTGCTCAGTGCTGGATGTTGCCTAACCTCACCGCCGACCCCTGCTCTGTCCTCCTCATTGATACCTTCTCTGGCCACACCTCCTCCAGACCCCTGTGAGGGACATCCTTGCCTTAACAGTGGTTCTTGCATCTCTCTGTCCTCATCGCTGAGGACACTTGACAAACCACCAGACACTGAGACATACACCTGCGCCTGTATTGCTGGCTTCACTGGCCACAACTGTGAGGTAAGCTGTGTTCCATCCTCCCCATTTTTGCACCATCCACTCCCTCTCCATTGCTTGTTTTCTTGTGTTCAGCTTGTTACCATGGTAACAGGGTGGCATGTCATGCTTGTTTAGTGGCAGTATAATGTCAGTGGCAGCATGGGAATTATATGGTGACTTTCCTCACAAATTGGAAAAGGACATTTGTGACCCAAGTGTTATATTAATCTCTCTGATTCATTGCCATTTTTATACATTTTCAAGAAAATCTGTGAATATATAGTCTGGCAGTATCTCAAATTAGCCTTCAGGTATAGTGTGAGGGTGTGGCTGTTTTCCAAATTCAATAAAACCATTGGACTGAATACGATTTTGAGGTCAGTTGGTAAGGTGAGCCATCAGTTTGTAATGGATGTTATGGATGCTGCACCACATATTTCTGTCAATTGAGAATTCCATTAGCGAGCCTCATACTTTTAGCGATAATGTGCCAGTGCAGTTTGACCGTCATGGCAATATGGCAAATCAACAGCTCATTTGAATTGATAATGATGCTCACTTTCACTTGGGTGAAACACTTAGTATAGAAACAGGTATATGTTCTATTGTAACGCTATGGGGTACATAATGATATGAACACAGTTGTGGTTTCATGGTAATAGATATGTTAAAGTCAGGTTTTGAGGAACTTGTGCTGATTGTCATATAATCATGTTATTCGTTCTTATAGTTGCCCTCCAAATTACAAATGAGGAACTGGTTAGTCAACTCTGAAAGTACTTTTTGACACACATACCTGTATGTTCTGTTTGCTGTCAGGCATTTCAGTGTGGAAAGGTATTGGTGTCTTATACTGCAGATTTTCTGTTGTAGGCTTTAGTTCTGCATGATGTTCAGTTCTGTATGAACCCAAGGAGATTTGGAGGACATGTCAGGTCTCTGACAGTTTGGATATATTATTGCTGATAAGATCACATATAGGTAGGATCGAAGAGTTACATGTCTTTATATATTTTAGATATTAAATAAAATGTGCTGGAGCTTCTGCCCCTTTGTTGTAGTATCTTCAAACTATGCACCCTTTGATTGGCAAAAATCCTTGTAACTGAAAGGAAAGATAAGAAAAAACATTTTCAGGATAATATTGTAACCTTGATGGTTTTAGTATTTCTTTTTCTGGCTGTGAGTGATTCAGACATTTTCAGCAAGAGACTGCCCTATTTGCTCTCCCAGAATAGCACAGTACAGCACGCTCCAGTGCCTGAGCCCAGCCCGGTCTGCTCCTTCACCATTGCCACTGGAGACCTTCAGGATAAATTGATTTGTCTCTTTATTTCTTGCCATGGCAACAAGACAAAGAATCGATAAAGATAAACCAAACTACTAGTCCACATAGCTTGTTAGCATTTCATTCTGAATCAAAGTGTGAGACAGAGAGTGAATATTGTAGAAGATGTAACAGAATACAGAACCATCCACGCATTCCTTCCTTGGTTTTACTGAATGTGAATAATGAGGGCATTTGTGGGCATTTGTTAAGCAAGTGTGGAAAGTAGTGAAAAAAACAGAAATGCAAAAATGGCTGAGCTGAGGCCTGCATGTTGTAGGCTAACTATCTAATGGCTAATATCCAGGTGATTTGGTTTGGTGGTTCAAAATCAGATATGTGCCAAATATTTTATTAAGGAAACACCAGGTTCTAAGTCATAAAACATATCATGCTAAACATGAGAAAACAATATATCTTGATAAATAAACAATCTAATATTTACTCATTGGTTCCTCTGTTTCCTTGCCTGCTTTAAAGAAACCACAATCATCAAGTGAACAAAGGCAGCATTTAGTGGACCTTTCATAGAAATCCCCTAAAAGAATACTTCTAGTAATTGTGTTATTTCTCAAGTTTCATTGCAAGCAGGCCTAGTTTCTAAATTAAGCATCTTCTTTAGAAAGAGTGTAAGATGAGGCCCTCAGATGAATTTGATTTTCAGTCTTCAAGGACACAGCCAAACCTTTTACATTGGTGTGGCCAGACTTAGAACCAATGATTTTACTGGGGTGGCAATGGAGTAAAACACAAACCCAAAATCCAATTAACTGAAAATGTGGTGAAAATGACAAATATTTAACTATGCATAACAGAAGTAACAAATACAGGTATTGCCCCTCAAAAAGGAAAAAGTTATATGTTGTTATATGTCTTAGGATCTCTTTGGATAACATCACACACCTAAAACAGCATGAATACAGACTGTGGAGTCTGATTTTCCGTTTCATTCTATAACCTGAGGGCGTCATCATCAGGACAAACACATCTGTCAGACAAACACCTTTATTTCATAAAATATATTATCATATATTCAAAAAGGATAAAATTTGACTCAATTGTCAAACAACAGTTTATATGTTATGTTTGTTATTGTTATTTTTTTATTCCCCCAAACCCCCTGATAAGAGGACCATCAACAAATCTTATTGATACGCTGATTTTCATATTGTGATGAGTGCGTGAGACATTTTAATAAATGAGACGACAGCTGAAAGTTGTTCCCTCTACTAATCCCTAGCACTGGTCAAAGTCGCAACAGCACAGACATGGAAGCAACAATTAACGTGACAGTCACATTCATAGTTGTACGGTAATAAAACACACATATTACATGGTAACAATGACACGGATATGACATTTACAATTTACAACAAAAATACACAAAGACACATATTAATGTACACTATTTATAGAAACATCTGCAGAGATGCAAGGCATGCTGGTAAAGTTCATAATTGGTCGTGCTGACAAGCCCTACAGCGACCCCCAATTCTTTCAAAAAGTCCCACAGATGCGGCAGAGGCTAGCACCGTCAGGAGGACTGATGTGTCACAGACTGTCGTACATTGATCTCCCAGCATGTTCTCCACAGCTGCTGCAGGGGTATTCAACTGGGCCTTGGGGCAATCAAGTGCCAGGCGCTCCTAGTGCAGAACCATAGCCTTTCGTTGCTTGGGCCTTTTGGCCTGGGTCCTTGTCTCAACCAGTGGCTGCCCAGCTTGGGCAACCTCCCCTTCTTTCAAATATGGCGGTACACCCAAACATGCTCCCTGATGCTGAAGTCCACACAGGAACTCTAGAACTGGCTCCTTCAGTACCTCTATCTGAAGGTGTGGCATGAACACCAAGCCTACCAGAGTGTACAGCTCCCTCTTAAACATCAGCGCATCTGGGGTTCACTGGCTTCTCACCTGCACTGCAGCCTGGTATGCCCACAGGACCAGGGACAGGTGTCGGTTCCAGTCACACTGGTGGTCAGCAACAAGTATGGTAAGCAACACAGGGAGCATGTGGCTATACTTCCCCAACAGCCCATCACTCTGAGGATGGAGGGGGGTGGTGCAGGTCTTTGCGATGCCTAGCTGCTTGCAGATCTCGCCAACTACCTGTGATTTGAAGTTCTGCTACAGGTCCTTGTGCAGCTCCTCTGTCATTCTAAAGTGGCAGAAGAACTCTTCCACTAGTTTTTTGAATGTGGTCCCTGTACTATGGTAAGGAACCATGTACCCCTCAGGCCACCTGGTGAAATAATCCTTGGCTAAGTGCACATAATGGTTCCCGGAATTGCTGCAAGGGAAAGGACCCAGGATATCCACCTCGACCTTCTCTATGGGTACTCCCACCCAGTGTTGGGGAAAGTTACTTTTAAATTTAATATATTACAATACTGAGTTACTCCCCCCAAAAAGTAACTAATTGCATTACTTAGTTACTTTTTATGGAAAGTAATGCGTTATATTACTTTTGAGTTACTTTTGCGTTACTTATTTCTTACCTGGCTAAAGCTTTTTGTTGTTCAGGCCTTAGAATTATTATTTCATTTTCTTTTAAAAACACATATATAGAATAATAATATAGAATTATATAATATTCTCAGAACTTTCAGAGCTATGCATGCCATTTAAAAAAAATCTCAACATTAATTATTGAAAGTTGAAAATTAATGTGTTTGTTAAGTTTTTATTTTTGTTTTGGTAGGCTATGGCCTACATAAAGTAAATTCACTGTCCAATGAGATAATAAAGAGTGCAATATAGGCTAGATAATTGCCATTGTGAAATAAGTTATATTAGGGCAAAAGACAGATCTTAAACATTTAAAATGTTTAATAACTTTTTAGAGAACAATGAAATTGTACTACTCAAGTGATCTGAATTCCTTAGTTCAATTTTTATCAGATTATTCAAGTCAGCCTATGTGTTTCTATGACGCTTCAAAAACATTATTTCTCTGTTCACGCTCCACTTAATCTGCCAATGAATTCAACGATCTTATCAGATCTCCAGCCGCCATGTTTCAAACGATCTAAACGTAACGCGCTTCCGCCAATCCCCGCCTTGACGCAATGATTGCCGTAGGGTGGGCGTGGTCAGCTCGGAATGCATTTTCAAAGCAGCACTGAGTGCGTGATTCTACGTGACTACGTTCGTTTTAATTAAATATTTTTTTAAGCAAATTAATTAAAATAGAAAAGTAACTCGCGCTACTTTTTTTAAAAAAGTAACTCAAATATTGATGTGTAAATTTATAAAGTAATGCGTTATATTACTCGTTACTTAAGAAAAGTAATATTATTACGTAACGCACGTTACTTGTAACGCGTTACCCCCAACACTGCTCCCACCTGGCACTGCTGCATGTACGCCCAGGACTAGTGGCTTGGGTCCTAGTGGGCAGTACACTTGTTGCAGCAGTGCACAAACAGTGCTGTGTCCTTTCTGCAACCAGGTCAATAGAAGCGGCTCTGCTGATTTCCCAGTACTCGTTTCATCAACCTCTTGATGGTACAGGGGGAGTGACAGAGCCCGAATGGCATGACCCAGAAGTGCCATAGACCCTGGATAATGGTGAGCGTAGTCTTGCTTCGAGCATCTGGGGCTGATTTGAACTGCCAATAGCTACTCTGAAGGTCTAAGGAGCTAAACTACACCAGTCCCATGATGTGATCCAGTGTGTTACCATTCTTGGGCAG